TAAAGGAAAAGGTGACACAAAAATTAATAAGGACAAAGTTTTTACTTTCTTTGGTTTCTTATTATCTTTTTGTCTGTTTAAAAGGAATTGTTCTAGACTTGAACCTAAAATCAGGATTGCCAGTAGAATATTATAATATCTTTTCATAAATGTATTAGGGAAAGATAGCAGTTGAGTCTTATTAGGTCAAATTCAAGAAATTTAAAACTTTGAACTACTTAGTTGAATTGTTGGATTGATATGTATAATAAGAAGCTTAAATTCCTCCTTATTATTATCTCATGCTGTAAATTAGTTAATCTAGTTCATTAATGGATGGTTTTGTTGATTTATCTAAGTCTATCTTATTGATTGAGTAGTCTTTATCATTCATTAAAAAATTATCTAATTTATGATTCTGATTTATGAGTAAAACTTTACTACCCAAGTTATAATTGGCAAAATCTAATTATCTATTTGGTGAATCTTAAACTGACTAATTTAAAGCAAATTTTAATCCAAGAACACTAAATCCCAGAGGTATCAAAAGATCCCCTATCAGTTTTGACTTATTTCTTGCATAAAACATAATTTAACTCCAGAATATAGTTTTGAAATTTCTGAAGAACTGGTAGCTTTATTTTGTAGGTTTTAGTTATTTTTTGCCATTATTTTTATTTATAGAATAATTTTCAATATTTTACTGATCACTTATTTGAATAATTCCTGAGTAATTTTAGCCTTAGTTAATCACTCCATTATCCATAATGCCAACCTAATTTTAAGAGAAATTAATTTCATCTATTAAGTGAGTACTCATAATTGCTATTTTGTTTAGGCTTTACATCTTAAGTAAATTTATTATACTTATCCTTGTCTCATAATCAAGCCCTGCTGTTGGCTCATCTAAAATGATGAGATCTGATTATTTTATCAACGATATTGCAATTTAAAGCCTTCTCTTATAGCCACCTGATAGATTCTAAGCAATAGCATCTTTGTAATCTAGTAATTAACATTCAATCATTAACCTCTAAATGGCGTCATTTATTTTATCTGATGCTAAATTATTATGTAAATTAAAGTAAAAACATAAGTTCTCTGAAACAGTCATAAACTCATAGAAAATATTCGATTGTGGACAGTAGCTTATCATCTTTCTATATTAATGCTTTTAGAAATTTGAATCATAATTATTCAAAGTAATTTCGCCTGAATCATAACTAGCTCTTCCAGCTAATATCTCAAGCAAAGTAGTTTTACCAGCACCATTAGGACCCAGTAGACAATAGAAATCACCATTTTATAAGTTTAATTCTATACCTTTCAATACCTTTTCATCATTATTGTAGGCCTTGCAAACATTATTAATTTATAGACCATATATATACTTTGAATTATCATGCATCCTCATTGTAACTTCTTCAACTTAATTTTAAGGATTTTAATTTTAAATATCAATAACAAGCTAATTTTAATCTCTAATTTTAACTTAATTAGTCTTTTTGTTTAACGTCATTTAGAATAATATTGTCTAGATTATGATGACAAGTAAAATCATTCCTAATGAAACATTGTTATTATTCTCCCAGAAATTCTAAAGTTATATTCCTGATCTAGTTTAGAATTCAAATATGATGAAGTTTTATAGTACCAATTAAATTTAATTGAAAGGTAGTAATAACTCTAGAATTTATAAGCAGCCTAAATATCTTTCTTAAATAATAGCATTAGATGAAATCATATATGTCAAAAAACTAACAACAGATACTGTCAATAATATTGTATTAAATATCTTTCTACTTTTGGCAATCCGAAATATTAATACAACTTAGTTGAAGCAGGCTAAACTTATAGAAAATTATAAAATCCATATCAGAAAAACATTAGATTATTGAAATACATTATAGCTTAAGAGACCTGTTGTAATCGTTGATTGATAAATAACAATAGCTATCAAATGCATCTTGACGAATAATCTGATCTCTTAAACACCATAAGATTTGATGATTTTAATTAATTTTTAGTCCTATTTTAATTTATATAAATAAATTTAATACCTTTTCTTCAAAATATCTTCCTATAATTTTCATCATTAGCAATAGATTCATAAATATTATTATTGGATATAGTGTTCTTTCCAAGACCATCTTAAAATCATCCTTGTATATTGTATCACCTAAATAAAAATATAAGTCCTCCATATTATTACTTTTCATTGGAACTAGAGCAATGTGAATACTAGCATCATCAATTTTAGTGGCTTATTTGAGAATTAAATTAGCAACCCAATTTTACATCCATGAATAACCCTGCTACACATACTTTCTATAAGCATCAAAATTTGGAGTATTGCTATATTTATCAAAAGCAGGATTCTTTTAATTAGGAATATTATTCTATGTCCTTTCTATAATTCCTTCTGAATCATCAAAATGCATGCTTAATTCAAATTCACTATCATATTTCTAATTCAAAGATGCTCCGAAGCAGAGACCAGGATATTATTTTTGATTTTTTTCATATTCTTCGTGATTCATATATTCTTGCATTTCCTCCTAAGTTTCAAACAATTTTACCTTTATGTACATTGGACTAATCTGCAATATAAAATCTGGAATCCCATCATTATTTTTATCATTGTCTAATAATCCTGTCTCCACATTATTGATATGATTTTTAATGTAAACTAAAAATACGCTATTATTTTAAAAATTTTAACTTACAAAATAGCTCAATATCTTTTGCAAGTTATTAAATGATAAGATTATTTGCAGGTGCTAAGCCTATAAATTATCTGTCTGAATTATCTATTGTGCTTCTGCAATTATCAGGGTGAAATTTAAACAGAACACTCCCTGTAAGGGCATCTTATTCAATATATTTGAAATAATTTTCATATTTTTTCTTGAAGTTTTCGAGGGCTTTAGTTCTATCTAATCCATATTCTAAGGGATTAAACATTGGCTAGAGATTTACACCGTATTTAATAAAATTCTCGCTTTCTTTATAATTATTTAGATTCTTGTCATTCTGATTCTTAAAATCTGGCTAAAGCGATATATGCTACCTCTATATTTTGCTTCTTATTATACACAGAAATCCCAGCAGAAATATAGGCAGTAAAATTTCTAGCAAAGTCACTATGAAGTGCCTCTTTCGAAATATTATTTCTTTTTATAGCAGTGCTTTCAAATGAATAAATTTACAATTTTCTTACTCTGGCAAAATTTATCCCAAACTAATTGGGCTCATTTTAGACATTTATAAATTGTAAATAATGATATAATTCCAATGTTTCAAATTAACATTAGTCAATTCCAATTATTAATAAAATTAATTTTTATAGAATAAAGTTTAATGGATATATTATAAAAGCTTCAGTAAAATTTAGAAAAACAGAATACTCCGTAAAAGTCTCTCCTTAACAAGACAAATAAGATTTAATAAAAAATTAGCAAAGTCAATTATAATGAAGATTAGAATGATAAAGAGAGAATTAGAGAGAGATTAGACGAAATGATAAAGGATAGAAACTAGAAGATGATGAAAGAGTCTATAGAAGTAAATTTTGCTTAAACGATTAATGAGATAACATCAGGTAGTCCTCTCAAGCCATAGAAACCTAATAAAAAGTATAAGCTAACTATAGAATAAGTTAAGATTTACTAAACTCTAAAGAAATTAGAACTAAAATCTAAGTCTCACTTCAAACTAAATGAGTAAAAAAGAAATAAGGGGGTAAATCATAGGAGATTTACTGATATAATTGAGAATGAAAAGGATCACTTACTTGGTATATTTAGTTCTAACAAACTTATCACAGAATTCTCAGGGTAGAGTGGTCAGAAAATATTTGATATGCACAAATTGGATTTTGTCTAGCTTAAGTTTAAAGAGGATATAGCGAGGATAACTTAAGATATGATAGATCAAGCTTAATAGAGTTAGTTTGGAAAAGAAATCATTCAGAAAAGCGAATTATATTAGCACAAATACATTCCTGACATAGCGGTCAGATAAATATCTAAGAATCTATAGATTCTAGAGCAGTTCGATCAAATTTATTCTACTAGCAATTATTAGTCTAATAATACAAATAAAAATAGAGAAAATCCTTATGCCTAAAGTTAGAGTAACCACAATTAAAATATCTATTAAAATTAGCAAACATTTGAATAGAAAATTCAATAATATAACTCAGAAATCACAAACAATTATCAGTACGATGAGTCACCACATCCACAGGCCTAGACATATGATGATTTTCAATCAGTAGCAAGAATGTGATCTTTTAAATCAATAAATACTAATAACTAGGGGAATCCATTTCATAATAGATATAACAATGCTTCAATTATAAAAGTTAATATAACTGGAGAATACCCGACATTATACTACACTTTTGAAAATGTCAATGATTCACTTCAAATTTAGAGAGTGAAATCAAAAAATAATTTGATTGGAAAAGGAGTTCAATAGATTGCTGAACCCTCAAACTCACTTGTATCCAAAATATCAAAAGGGTTAGCAAGGCAACTCAAGACTGAATTTACAACTATAGAGAATAGATACCTTAAGAATATAGAAAGGGGTAAATACTTTAAGAAATAGGATACTATAAAGGGATAGATGAATGAATTATTCAAATTAAACGAGAAAAGATCAGTATTTAAACTTTAAAGGCCAAACAATTTAAAAACCAAAATTGAACAGCTAGATAGAAAATTATGAAAAGGAAGTGATATAAAGGCAATTAAAGATAACAATATCAAAATAGAAGTCGTTAAAGAGTATGAGCTAGAGGACGAGGATGAAATGTTTCAATCTATGTACTTGAATTACATTGGTATGGGTGGTTTAAATGATAACTTGGAATCTTCAAATGGCTTATCTCATATTCAGAGTCCAACAACAGGCATAATAGAGGGACTTGGAGGCATGATTGGTGGATTACAAGGATTTTAAAAGGGAAGAAACCATAATTAGTTAGAGATTTCAGATGATTCTGATAAGGATCTCTAATTCATCGATTTAATTGGCTTAAGTGGTAATAATAACAATAATAGAATGCACATGGATAACTAAATCAATGGCAACAATATGCTGATAATTACTCCTTTTGAAAATATTCTATTTTACGATGAGTTACTTGATGAGGAGAGCTATGATGCACAATTGATTGATGAACTATTTAATGGATAGAAAAAGATTAAGATTAGTAAGGAGGTTGCTGATAGATCAAGAGGTAGATCAATAGCTGCTCTAATGAGTCGGATCAATACAGAAAATTTAGATGACTCTGATTCAAGTATTTAAGATAATCAAACTTACCAAGCTCTTTAGAAATATCAGTTCAACTAGATACTTAAGGGAAATGAATCACCAGACATACTGCTTAGAGATAATAGAAATTATACAACTATTTAAAGACAAAAAACGACAAGAAAAAGTGTGAAGAGATAGAAGATAGACATTAGCTCGATAGTAGAGTTCTTCGATCCAATTAGGAAAAAGAAAGGACCTCTGTCTAAGAAAAACAAGACAGGAAGAATAAAAGACAAGGGATCAACCTAAAAACATGGAATAGTAAACAAAAGAGTTCCAACAGATAATTCAACTTAAATTGAACACGGGCTCATTACGTTTTATGGAAATGTTTCAAAGCAGAGATTTAGATTCAACAGTTTTCATTTGAGGTGGATGATGATGAGAGGGCTAAATTTATATTGGTATAGATCACCAATGGATAAATAGCAAAAAGGAAACATAATTATACCAAGTGTAAACATTCAGCATATGAGGGTTGGGCAAAATGTAAGTATTATCTTTTAAGAATTTAATTCAATTCTAGCAATGCTTTATGATTTTGAAAGAAGATGGCGGATAGGGTAGACAGCTTAGATTTTTAGATAATGAATAAAATTTGGAGTTTAAACACAAAGTCTCAAACATGATTTAGTACAAGATGTATGTTGAGACTGTAAACAAAAGAGACTAAGAAAGACTAGATATCTAAATTTTAGACTTCTTCAAAGATTCTAATACACTCAAACTCGAATTTCATGATAAACAGCTAAATGATGAGTTTAAAATTATTTACCTACTAGAGTCTCTCTAGGCGCATTCAAGATTAACACAGCTGATATTAGTTAATTGTGGATTAACGGATGAATATCTTGACCTTCTACTCAATAAAATATGCTAAAGAAGAAACACTATTTGGCATATGGATTTCAGTCAAAATGAACTAACTTAGCATTCTATTCCATCGCTTTGCTAGTATATGAAGCATGATTATGGTCTTTATTTGAAAAGTTTGCAATTGAACAGAAACACTATTTATGATGGTGGCTTGTAAAATCTTGCAGTAGGGTTGTTTGATAGATACTAAATTTTTGAAAATAAAAATCAATCAATCACAAAAGCACCCATTCCAATATAAAATCTTGGACTCTCAGACACAAAATTCACTGATAATGTAAGTTATTTTTACCAATTAATGATTTTAGGGATTTAAATATCTCATGTAAAGACTGGAAGCCTTATATCTTAAGAATATGTCTAATTAGAGGGACTTTGAGAATCTAATGGAATTAGACATATCCAAGAATAATATTACTGAGTCATCTTTGAAGTATCTAGGAGACATTCTCAAGAAATTTAATGGCTTTAAGAGCATTAATATGCAATCCATGGGCAAGATGAAGACAGAAAATGGTTGGATTGATTTTTGTCGCTCTCTCAGAGACAGTGGAGCATTGTAAATGATAGATTTATCCAAGAATGCTTTCTCAGGATAGGTGCTATAAGAATTATTTCATGCTATTGCTGAAAATTATGTGATAAGTGAAATATATGTGGAGATAAAAGGAAAGACTATTCCTTTTGGATTCTCTAATAACACTTTAATGAGCATGTACTAGATTTGTCTTACTAAGGAAAATGTAGATCTTTGAATTTTAATCTTAATTTCATAATTTCCAATCAAGTCTGCTAATTTATAATGATGGGGTTTTGGGGTTTTGGGG